ACCCCCAGACACACACAGCCTCCTCCCAGACACACACACAGCCCCCCCCAGACACACACACAGCACCCCCAGATACACACAGCACCCCAGACACACACACAGCCCCCCAGACACACACACACACAGCCCCCAGATACACACACACACAGCACCCCAGACACACACAGCACCCCAGACACACACAACCCCAGATACACTCAGCACCCAAGATACACACAGCACCCCCAGACAACCACACAGCACCCCCAACACACACACAGCACCCAGATACACACAGCACCCCAGATACACACACACAGCACCCCCAGACACACACACAGCACCCCAAGATACACACACAGCAACCCCCAGACAACCCACACAGCCCCCCACACACAGCACCCCAGACACACACACAGCCCCCCCCCCAGACACACACACAGCCCCCTCACACACAGCACCCCCAGACACACACAGCACCCCAGATACACACAGCAGACACACACACAGCACCCCCAGACACACACACAGCACCCCCAGATACAAACAGCACCCCCAGACACACACACAGCACCCCAGATACAGCACCTCCAGACACACACACACAGCACCCCCAGACACACCCAGCACACCCAGAGACACACACACACACATACATATATATATATATATTATATAAAATAACCCTCAGTGTGTTAACAGACAAAGAAAATTAGAAAACTAGAATGTGACGGCAGATAAAAACACCCTCACACACAGCACCCCTCTTACACAAACACACTGCGCACCTCACACATACAATACATCCAAATATATATATATATATATATACACACACACACACACTACTGCACCACTACACACATTACGCTCCAAATACACACTAGATCCCTTACCCTATATGCACTCTTAATCCTCTACACAAACACACACACAATCTTCTATACACACTCTGGGTCCTTTACACACTAGATCTCTTACACACACACACTGCACCACCTACACACACACACACTATATTCCTTGTAAGGAAAGACATACAACATTCTCTAAACACACCCTCTCTACAACCCCTACACACACACTACTGCCCGTATGCACACACTCGCTACATCCCCTATAACACTATGCCCCTATACACGCACTCTCTACAGCCCCTAGCAACACATATTACACCTATTTACACAATACCACACCACACTCTACACACAGGCAATCCCACAAGCAGGCGCCAAACACATGCACCATACACTTTCCTGGCCCTTTTGTCCTCTGATATCCCACTTGTGGAGACACCAGAGACAATTTAAAAGCAAACACAGCGCAAGCATGTTATTACATTTGCTTGCGCTGCGCAGAACAAATACAGGGCCTTTTTCTAATGCCAGAGCTCTTCAGCGGGGCTCTGCGCATTGAACCAACATGCTCACTTTGAGAGGGGGCGTGCTTGTCATTAGTGATGACAAAACACACCCTCTCTGGCCCCGCTCCCTTCTTGGGGGGCCGCTCTAATTGAAAAATGCCCGGGCCTAATTTTTTTCCCAGTCCGGCCCTGCTCTCAAATCACCAAAACATACACATCTTCATGTAGTGGTTTTGATGTCTGACAAATGTAGCACTTTGTCATTATCAAGGGCTTTAGGCTGCTAGCTTGGACAAACCTAAGGTAAAAAATGTTCAGCTGCCCTGTTTTATGGAATAACACAAATTATTGCTGTATTTATAAGTGTCTTTTTTTGATTTAAAAAAACTACACAAATACGTAACTCATGAAAGAGATAAGCAAACCAGATATAAAGAGAAAAATAGAAGTATGAGAGCTTTTTCTTGTTTACTTTGCATATTCCAACATGGGATTTGCGAATTAATTCTATCTGAAGAAGTTTAGAATATGTGTAGCGCTGGTTAGTCAATACACTAAATACTACACTAGATGGAAGGATATATTATTAGAAAAGTTTGGTCATTGATTAATTGACAAATTGCTCTTCAAAAATATTAACAGTAAAATAAACTACATTAGTATCAAATCATTCACAAAGTCCTCAAATAAAACCTATAATTAATCCTGTCAGAGCTACTGGTTAAGTTTTTTGGTCAGATTAGGTGGACAATAACTTATGGTTCTTGCTAAAAATCTGCTTGTTTCTGGTGGGTTCTCTATAAACAAACTGAATAGAATTGGAGCAAGATTTGTTTTAAAGAGATAACTGATCCAATTTTCATGTGTCTTTTTAGGACATAAAAACATTACGGTCTCATCTCAGGCTGTAGGTAGCAAGGACACCTGTGGCGGTCAGGAGACAATGTTCCTTCAAAAAGGACAGAAGGACACAGTGATAAACTCATTGCTGGTAGAGGTGAGAAGTTGAATTCTCCTTTAGATACTTTCTATAATACCAAAGGCCAGCATAGAGTTATTGTATTCTGTGATGTTTATTCATAATATAATATTCATGGTCAAAAGAGACATATTCTAATATATGTTTTATTGCAGCCCGAGGGTACTCCGGTGGAGCAGACACACAACTCCTTGCTTATTTGTGATGGTAAGGATTATAGTATTTTATAAAGGTGTCCTGTTTTTGAGCATATATGTATACATATATGTATACAGATATAAACATGTAAAAAAGTCATTGTAGCCTTCCTGTCTGTTTGAACCAGCCCATCCATTCTCATCTCATTAACAAAATGTTCTGCCACTCATTTAAAGTAACATACAGGGCACCAAGACATCTTCGTATCAATCAGCTTTTCTTCATATATTATCTGTATTACACAATGAAATCAAAGGTTTGGCAAAAAATGGGATATTTTAAAATTCCCAGTGTCATGCTTCATCACCTTCAAAATGTTGCCATGAGTTACTTGAGAACATTTTTGTTGAATTCATGGAATACTAATTACTATTATTTAATATAACCATTGTGATTTTCTCCAGGAGGCTCTGTAGAAGAAAAAGTAAAGCTAGACCTTCCAGAAACATATGTAGAAGGATCAGCGAAAGCATCTATCAATGTCTTTGGTGAGTGAGAAATAAAGCTATATCTGGAATGGATATGAAATGATCACTCTGAAAATGATTCAGTTTGAGGAGCATGGGTGCATGTGTGATTGTCATTGTGGGTGTACACCTGTTTAACTGTCCTTAATGATTGACAGAAATTCAAACAATAAAGGTTAACTTGTGGAAATCATATATTCCATTATTATGCCAACCTTTATCTATGGCACGGCCATTCCATAAAATATATCTGTTTGTCAATGTATCTGGAAATAGTAAACAAACCATCACTGTGATAATTACCTAGAATTGTTTCAAGCATCAAGTCTGGCAAGGATAAAAACTCCTGTAAAGAACCCTGAAGTGGTAGCTAGCGGTTCATCTGTTTTCAACCGAACGGCAAAAAGCAAGAGTGATTATAGCTCGCAGTTCGGTTCTCCGTTTGCCTAATAATCCAGAGTAAGTGAAGCGCTCAAGCCAAAGCAGTAATCGGGTACCCAAACATCAGCCGAAACATGATGAAGGGCGCAACAGGAATCAATTTTATTGTGCCACTCTGGCTTTTATGCAAGTTTTCAAGCCAGGGGAACACCTCCATGGACCTTGTGGTAAGTTATTATATCCAATAAAAATACAGAACAGGGACACTCCCAGCACAAACAGTAAATCCCCTCCTCTCTGCCTGGAGATAATTGGGTCAGATAAAGTAATAACTCAATTATCTCCAGGCAGAGGTAACACAATTTTTACAATCTTTTAAAAACACCCCAAAACACACAGGGCCCCCACAAATGTCCTATCCCCTGATAGCCCCGATCTGGGTGATCAACATATCCAAAAATCACCCAGATCGGTTCAGGGGTTTTCGATTTTCATGAAAGTCCCAATTGACCGACCGCACACGAGGCTCCTGCCCAAAACAGTTCCATGATTTCAGGCTGTGTGGTCGGTCTATTTCTGTCAGGATTACAGAATGATCCAGCACATAGAATTGTATAACCCAGAGGACTGATAGGTAACGTATACCGGACCTTAGAATGGTCGGACTAACGTACCAAAGAATAGTCAGGAATAGTCGAAGTCAAGGGAGACAGAAAGAGACACAACGATAAGGAAAAGCCAGGAGTCAGGGGTGCCAGAAAACAGGGAAGTCAAAAACAATGCCAAAGTCAAATAACCAGAATAACCAGAATCAATAACGCGCTCTCGGACAACCACAAGGGAAACCACGACAGGGCACTGAGCAGGATGAGAACTGGGCCTAAATACCCCTCCTCTAGATCTGATAGGCTGTAACCAGCCTTTGACCCCAAAGGCAGTAACCAGGTTCCCATTTGCATACTTGCTGCTCAGCATTAACCCTTCTGTGGATTTGGTTGCTGCTCGGTACAACTTTTTCTGTGTGGACAGTAAATGCCATTAACCACATTTTTATAAGCGGATGAGTACGTGACAATTTCGTTAAGTCCAAATAAATGAAATAATGCATGAATGGATCCCTCTGGCTCATAGCAGCGATTGATCCCCTCGTTTGTGTGAACAAATCTACCAAACAGCGCTCTCCTAGCTGTTCAGGAAAAGGAAGCAGGCGTTTGTCAGTTTGACTGGTGGTTCGGAAAGTCGAGTGTCCGATTTTAGTTCCAGACACTCGACGACCAAGTCCCGCTGCCTTCTTTTGTGCACACAAGATGGCCGGCGTTTTCTCTGCCACGTGGCGTTCGGCTATACGAACGGCGGACACACATAGAGAGTTTCCTTTATCCATAATGAACCAGAGGGGTGTTCGGACGTTCGGTAGTTTGAAACTATCGAACAAATAAACGAAAATTGGAAAAAATATACGAAATGTCATACGAATGCAGATAGAGAAAGCTGGTTTTCTCACAACTCCCTACCTACTTTATGCTATATGTCATGAGTAGTGATGTCCCGAACGATTCGCCGAACGGTTCGCCATGAACGGTTCACCACGGACTCATCATTGAGTAAACTTTGACCCTGTACCTCACAGTCAGCAGACACATTCCAGCCAATCAGCAGCAGACCCTCCCTCCCAGACCCTCCCACCTCCTGGACAGCTCACTAAGAATGCAGCTTCACAATGAATGTAAAATGGATGCTGTCCAGGAGGTGGGAGGGTCTGGGAGGGAGGGTCTGCTGCTGATTGGCTGGAATGTGTCTACTGACTGTGAGGTACAGGGTCAAAGATTACTCAATGATGAGTCCGCGGCGAACCGTTCGTGGCGAACCGTTCGCGAACAGTTCGGGACATCACTAGTCATGAGATATATCCATTGACTTTTCTTTAGTTTTTGTAGATGTAAACAAAACTTATTTGATTTTGAATGATCTTCCTATTTTGAAAGTCAGCCATGCCAATACAATTCCCTTGCTTTTCCTCTAAGGAGATTTAATGTCATCTGCACTGAACAATTTGGACAATCTCTTGGCCATGTCGTATGGTTGCGGAGAACAAAACATGGTGCTTTTTGCCCCCAACATCTACATCCTACAATATTTAAAGTTCACCCAGCAGCTCAGTGAAGAGATTGGCAACAAAGGGAAAGATTTCTTAACAAAAGGTAAGTGTTGTATGATTTCTCTAAGAGCCATATGCCCCAATGTGCTGTCTTAAATGCACAAATAACACAAGCACATCATTACCAATAAACATATAAATTAAAAGTTAATATATGGCAAGTCAAACCCACTTCTATTTTTTAATATACAAGTCATAAAAAATATGATATTGATCACAAATAAATATATTCACCTGCACTTGATAACACATATTCTGATCCAGGATGAAATGTTTTCTACACTTCAACAAGATCCATATGGCTAACGCAATACTTCTATTCCAGGAAGTCTCTTCCACAAACATTTTAGAAGGCAAAGAAGTTGGGATTAGTGGCAAATGGATTTGGCAGAAAAGTAGTTGGGTTTCGTGTCCATAAAGTCGTTTAGGAACAGTGGGAATTGGGATTGGTTTAAAATAACGTAATTAATGTAAAATATGCTAATTGTATTTAACAGTGCTTTACAAATAGATTCTAAAAGAACACTGGTAATTATAAACAATATAGATACGCAGTATACACAAATTGATATAAAAGGAACAGAGGACACTGCTGCGAGCCCAGCATAGTTCAGGAGGTAAACTAGTACGGGTTAATGTTATCTTAGGGAATAAAGCAGGAGGCAGAGAAATGAGAAGTAGGTTCTGTTAGATATTTTGGAAGGCACGATAGCTGGGATCAGTATCTGTTGGATAACTGAATTATTTAGATATAACAAAAATTAGATGACTAGCCCTTATTTTTCTAGGATACCAACGTCAGTTAACCTACAAACACAAAGCTGGGTGTTACAGTGCGTTTGGAGAGAGTGACAAAGAGGGGAACACATGGTAAGTACATGTTATCATACATATTACACATTGGACCTTTATTCATTGATTCGATCTCCACATTAGACAGATTACATGGTTTATGCAAAATCACTACAGTAAGAGGATATTTTAGATTTCACGAGACAATAGAAATAACCATTAAATTGCTGATGTTAACTTCTCATGCCCATTCCACCATATTGCACCTGATCACCTTATTGGTCATAATTATTTTGTTACATCTACTGGTTGGTTATTCCCTCAAATGTAAAACCTGAAGAAGAGACTTAACTTGCAATATCCGTATAATTAAATGACCAATAAAGCTAACACAGTACAACTACTAACTTATTATTCTTAGCATTTATATTTTGACCATATACCACAGTGCTTAGCAGTTATACAAAAGGGATATTTGGCAACTAGCAATATACATGCACAAGACGTGCAAGAGAGACAAGAGGTGAAGAAGGCCCTGCTCAAATGGGCTAGCAATCTATGAGGAAAGTGTAAACACATACAGGAGGAAGAACAGCATATCAGAGCAGAGGAGGGATTGATGAATAAGATGCTTGTGTCAAAATAAGCTAGCAAAAGTGTCATATGGAAGAACCAAAGAGTGGCAGGAGAGAGAATGAGCTGGGCCTACGGAGGCGAGGAAACCGATGATGGCAGTAAAATGAGACAAATGCCATGCAGGAAGATGGTAAGCTTTCCTGAAAATGTAACTTGTCGTCATTCTCATCCTTTTAGGCTCACTGCATTCGTCCTTAAGAGCTTCACACAAGCCCAGGATTTTGTCTATATAGATGAGGAGCATGTAAATAATGGGATTAAATGGATGGAGAAACAGCAGAGATCAGATGGTTGTTTCAAGGCCACAGGACGTCTGTTAAACAATGCTCTGAAGGTGAGTCTGCTGTAAAATATCTGGTTTCTACATGTACAGTTTATGCAATAAAAATACTTATTGACAAGGCCAGTATCTGCAATAACCAAAGTCTTTATTTAGCAGAATATTTAGTGTGAATTCAGCCATTACTATAAGGCAGTATTCCACCTAAATATAGCAATTATTCAGAAGAGTATCCAGAGTAAACACGCCTGTTACTCAGATCAACAGTATCCAGACAATGTGTAGTTCCTCTGTGAAGTTGCCATCCAAAGCATGAGAAGTAAGTTAGAGGTTCTCCAAACAACTGTTTGCAACATTTGGTCTGTACATATGTAGACAGACAACACCATAACAAATACTAAGGAAATGGTACAGCAAATATATCTGACAAGTGAGATGTAACTATAGGGACAAGCTGTTCTTAAATCTGGACACAATTCTTTATTGTGTAGTACAGACCATTACTGAAAGGAAAATTAAAGGTGTACTCCAGGCACTTCACTGACTTGAAGTGGTCATGGAGCCTGGAGTCTATATGCGCAGCGTTTGTCTATGAAACGCGGCTGCATGTACAGAAATTAACCTCTCTTCTGCACAGAATTGCAATTACTGACTGAGCTGGGGCTCTCTTCCAATGAATGGCCAGAAGGATCGGCATCAGAATCTGCTGCCGTGCAGATGCACGATGCACATCATAGTCAATGTATTTATTTATTGTATGTCCTGCATTCAAATAATTTTAGGTACGAAAACCATAAAAAAAATCTTTCAATTGAAAGCACTCTTAAACCATTATAATAATTTGTTTTGTATACATTCATTTGTAAGTAATGTCGTTTTGTTAATGCATTTATCAATCTTCGTATCTGAAAACCCTTGAATGCTGTACGTACAAACAAGAGAATACCTAAAGCATTATAACCAGCAGAAACGTTCTAAACAAATGAATGACACACGTTGTGTGCATGTTAAATATCCAGTTTAGTACCATTATGATGTTTTTGAATGGCCTGCATTTTACCCATTGATGTCATTCCTTCTAGGGGGGAGTTGATGATGAGGTTTCTCTCACAGGTTATGTCCTGGCTGCTTTGATGGAAAGTGGTATGTCTCCTGATGTAAGTATCCTGTTAGTGAGGGATACATTTTTAAAACTGTCACTATTTACAGTTTAGCATAAAACAATCTCTAAAAGAATGTTCTATATATAATTTTAGTCTTAAAATCAATATATCAGGACACATTAAATAGTGAATCAAGCAATCTCTATGTGTAGCTAGAGGGGGACTGGGGGGCAATTTACCTGCATTATATCTGTGTGTTTTATTTAATCAGAATCCTATGGTGGAAAGAGGCATGAAATGTCTAAAAAATGCATCTCTAGAGGAGGCTAGCACCTACAAAATGGCTTTAATGGCCTACGCTTACACTTTGGCAGATCTTCCAGATGCCCGAGATGAACTTCTTCAGCAATTGGACAGTAAAGCAATAAAAGCAGGTATGATTCTTTAGTTTAGATCCAAGAATATATGTTACACTGGCAAATTCCTTTTTCTCACCTCTTCTTTGATATTATTAATTCCAAAAAGAGCATATTCTATTTCCTCATGTTATGTGCTAAACCTTCTTTTCCACACTCCCATCAGTTCAGTGGTATAAGCAATAATCCCAACCCATGAGTTCGTTATCGTAACTTTGACCTCTCCTTCACAACTCAGAACCAATCTGTTGTCAAACTGGTCTTGCAATAATCATCTGAAAAATTATTACTTGCCTTCATTCTCTTCTACTAAAATAAGTGTTTTTTAACTCATTAATTACCATTTTGACTGCGGTTATTCATTCTTTATTGCTCTGCCTGTCTCTTATGCATAAATAAGCCAAGCTTAAGTTAATAATGAATGGTGCTGTGGGCATCTCGTCCTTATCCAGCAATCCTCAAACAAGCATTCTTAACCACCAAAAAAACATTATACCCAGTACGTTAAATAGACCATTTCAATTCAATACCTAATAATTATGATAATAATAACAATAATCGTGATAATAATGATAATAATATAGGCATGGACACCTTTGTTTTCTATTTAGCACTCATCAGTACCATTTACGTACTTGTTAAAACATAATGCTGGCAGTTATGGAAGTAAATGTTCACTTTATGAAATCATCACTACAAAATAGTATAGGTGATGGGTTACGGAATTAAATTGCCATAGTTACAGAAGTTCTGAACCAGCATGGTCTTTTAAGTAAAATCACTTTTGATAGAACCAAGATTTGACTACTGGACTATAGCCTTCTTGCATGAACTTCATGAAAACATAACCACACTTTTAACTTTGTGTTTTGTAGATGGTTCAACACACTGGACCCAGGCATCCAAAGCTGAACCAGATAGTTCCTGGTCCAAACCCAAGTCTGTGGATGTAGAATTGACATCATACGTTCTTCTGTCAAAGGCTTCAGCCAAACAAGTGTCTAAGAAGGAGCATGGAGAAATGGTGGCCATCATGCGATGGTTATCAAAACAGCAGAATGCCAACGGAGGATTCTGTTCCACTCAGGTAGCTCACACTAGGGCTGGGAATCTTAGAAAATTGCATTTATATTGGCAAGTAATATCTGCATGTAAAGATAAATGTGGTGGATATTTTTTATAGTAGTAATTTTGTTCGTCCAATTATTTGCCACTATATAATATCCACGGTGCCATGTGTCTTATACACAGCTAGTTGTAGTATAACACGTTTCGCTACCTGATTCTGTGATAGAAGGCAAAACAATAAAAACAAAAAAACAAAATATCTTGAGCTAGCTGTTTGAACACATTCATAGTCACATAATAATGAAATGTATGAGGGCTAAATCAAGCCATAGAAATACACATTGTATGT